GAAGTGTCACTTCCTTAGAAAAGACATTTCTACATCAGCTTTACATACTCTCCATTGCCAAATTCAAGGGACAAAGTTAAGATATCTTATTTGAGTATCGCTTCCCCTATAATCCCTTACATTTCTAGCTTTCAGTAGACAGAAAGGATCCCTGTTTATTCTTCTTTATTTAGGGCCACGTGTCATTAAATTCTTAATTATTATCTCCAAAATATAAATAGCTTTAATAGTTTTCTTTATTATAAGAGTAATATTACACTCATTGTAAAGCAAACAGGTTTTTAATAATGGCTTTTTCATGGTAATGGAAATGTTGCATATACTCGTACAGTGATACTGCCCCTGTTAATTCTTTGCCTTGAGAATCATGCACTCAGTAGCCCTGGAGGGGTATAGAATCATGCACTCAGTAGCCCTGGAGGGGTACGTAGAGAAAAGTACTGGATGGAGCAAGGGCAGAGCAGGTGCCTTACGTATGTGATCCCACTTACTTTCACAGCAATCCCATGAGGGGTGCTAGTATTTCCATTGTACAGATAAGAAAATTTGAAGCAGCTTGCCCAGGATCACTCAGGAAGTGAGTGACAGAGTTGGGATTCGAACCCACCTGCTCTGGCTGCAGAGCCTGTCATGGCTCCACCATTTTGCTCTGAGAGTAAGAACACTAGCCCATGATCCAGAAAATTGGGGTTCTATACCTGCAACTCTTAGCAGTTCCTAGTGGAAACTTGAGCAAATCCCTGGCCCTGGCATCTTCATCTCTAAAATTAAGGGCCTGTCCAAGATGACCTCTCAGGTTCCACTGGGCTCTGTGTGTGTTGCTAAGATAGATTAAAAAAAAAAAGAAAGTACTGAAGAGAACATGTCCCAGTCGAACGACTTGATGGTCTAATTGAGTAATCCTTTTTTATGATTATAACATGCATGGTTAGAAAATCTCCCTCTCTTCTCACAAGTAGCCATGTCCATCTTAAAAACATAAAAGCCATCCTGCATAAAAAAGTCATTGGCTTCATCTGTGCTGATATTGCCCACCAGTCCTGGGACCAGCACAATCCCTCCATAGCCCTAGGTACCGAGGACAGCTAGGCCGAAGGTGTCAGGTTTTTACTAATTCTTCATTGTTAATATTTTCTTAATC